GTTTGACGGTTGGATTATGAAAACTAATTTCGTACAATATGTTTCCTATTTTTAATTTATTTATTTTGTACTCATAAGCAAAAGGGTAGGAAAAAAAAACACAACTTTGCGCGACGTAGGTACAATTGCGTCGCGCAAAACATCCTTGCGCGACGCAATTGTACCTACGTCGCGCAAAGTTGTGTTTTTTTTTTTTTTTTTTTTTGGCCTTTTGCTTTTCTTTTGGGTTTCTTTCATTGCATTTTTCTTTTGTGGTATCCACTTGTGTAAATGTTTTAAATTGACGATCGAATTAGTTCATTGTATTCATATAGGTTTAAAGAGTGTAGTTGTAAAAAATCATCAAAATCGGAGTTAAAATGACCGTTAAATCGTGATGTTTCGTTTATACCCGTCGAAAAGGTTTGTCCCGTTACTTGATCTTTGAATGTTTTTTTTTTTTGGGATTTTTGGCGTATGCGATCTCGAAACATATACAAACAAGTTTGATGGTTAGATCGTTGAAACTAGTTTCGTACAATGCGTTTCCCATCAAAACGATAGATTCACTAACACTTAAGAGTTTATTTATACTTTCATTAAGTATAACATAAGATTTTGTAGTATCCACTTGTGTAAATATTTTAAATTGACGATCGAATTCATATAGGGTCAAGGAGTGTAGTTGTAAAAAATCATCAAAATCGGAGTTAAAATAACCGTTAAATCGTTATGTTTCGTTTATACCCGTCGAAAAGGTTTGTCCCGTTACTTGGTCTTTGAATATTTTTTTTTTTGTGATTTTTGGTGTGTACGATCTCGAAGTATATCCAAACAAGTTTGACGGTTGGATTATGAAAACTAATTTCATACAATATGTTTCCTATTTTTAATTTATTTATTTTGTACTCATAAGCAAAAGGGTAGGAAAAAAAAACACAACTTTGCGCGACGCAATTGTACCTACGTCGCGCAAAGTTGTGTTTTTTTTTTTTTTTTTTTTTGGCCTTTTGCTTTTCTTTTGGGTTTCTTTCATTGCATTTTTCTTTTGTGGTATCCACTTGTGTAAATGTTTTAAATTGACGATCGAATTAGTTCATTGTATTCATATAGGTTTAAAGAGTGTAGTTGTAAAAAATCATCAAAATCGGAGTTAAAATGACCGTTAAATCGTGATGTTTCGTTTATACCCGTCGAAAAGGTTTGTCCCGTTACTTGATCTTTGAATGTTTTTTTTTTTTGTGATTTTTGGCGTGTACGATCTCGAAGTGTATCCAAACAAGTTTGACGGTTGGATTGTGAAAACTAGTTTCGTACAATGCGTTTCCCATCAAAACGATAGATTCACTAACACTTAAGAATTTATTTATACTTTCATTAAGTATAACATAAGATTTTGTAGTATCCACTTGTGTAAATATTTTAAATTGACGATCGAATTCATATAGGGTCAAGGAGTGTAGTTGTAAAAAATCATCAAAATCGGAGTTAAAATAACCGTTAAATCGTGATGTTTCGTTTATACCCGTCGAAAAGGTTTGTCCCGTTACTTGGTCTTTGAATATTTTTTTTTTTGTGATTTTTGGCGTGTACGATCTCGAAGTATATCCAAACAAGTTTGACGGTTGGATTATGAAAACTAATTTCGTACAATATGTTTCCTATTTTTAATTTATTTATTTTGTACTCATAAGCAAAAGGGTAGGAAAAAAAAACACAACTTTGCGCGACGTAGGTACAATTGCGTCGCGCAAAACATCCTTGCGCGACGCAATTGTACCTACGTCGCGCAAAGTTGTGTGTTTTTTTTTTTTTTTTTTTGGCCTTTTGCTTTTCTTTTGGGTTTCTTTCATTGCATTTTTCTTTTGTGGTATCCACTTGTGTAAATGTTTTAAATTGACGATCGAATTAGTTCATTGTATTCATATAGGTTTAAAGAGTGTAGCTGTAAAAAATCATCAAAATCAAAGTTAAAATGACCGTTAAATCGTGATTTTTCGTTTATACCCGTCAAAAATGTTTGTCCCGTTACATAATCTCTGAATATTTGTTTTTTGCGATTTTTGGCGTATGCGATCTCGAAACATATAAAAACATGTTTGACGGTTAGATCGTTGAAACTAGTTTCGTACAATGCGTTTCCCATCAAAACGATAGATTCACTAACACTTAAGAGTTTATTTATACTTTCATTAAGTATAACATAAGATTTTGTAGTATCCACTTGTGTAAATATTTTAAATTGACGATCGAATTCATATAGGGTCAAGGAGTGTAGTTGTAAAAAATCATCAAAATCGGAGTTAAAATAACCGTTAAATCGTGATGTTTCGTTTATACCCGTCGAAAAGGTTTGTCCCGTTACTTGGTCTTTGAATATTTTTTTTTTGTGATTTTTGGCGTGTACGATCTCGAAGTATATCCAAACAAGTTTGACGGTTGGATTATGAAAACTAATTTCGTACAATATGTTTCCTATTTTTAATTTATTTATTTTGTACTCATAAGCAAAAGGGTAGGAAAAAAAACACAACTTTGCGCGACGTAGGTACAATTGCGTCGCGCAAAACATCCTTGCGCGACGCAATTGTACCTACGTCGCGCAAAGTTGTGTGTTTTTTTTTTTTTTTTTTTTGGCCTTTTGCTTTTCTTTTGGGTTTCTTTCATTGCATTTTTCTTTTGTGGTATCCACTTGTGTAAATGTTTTAAATTGACGATCGAATTAGTTCATTGTATTTATATAGGTTTAAAGAGTGTAGTTGTAAAAAATCATCAAAATCAAAGTTAAAATGACCGTTAAATCGTGATTTTTCGTTTATACCCGTCAAAAATGTTTGTCCCGTTACATAATCTCTGAATATTTGTTTTTTGCGATTTTTGGCGTATGCGATCTCGAAACATATACAAACAAGTTTGACGGTTAGATCGTTGAAACTAGTTTCGTACAATGCGTTTCCCATCAAAACGATAGATTCACTAACACTTAAGAGTTTATTTATACTTTCATTAAGTATAACATAAGATTTTGTAGTATCCACTTGTGTAAATATTTTAAATTGACGATCGAATTCATATAGGGTCAAGGAGTGTAGTTGTAAAAAATCATCAAAATCGGAGTTAAAATAACCGTTAAATCGTGATGTTTCGTTTATACCCGTCGAAAAGGTTTGTCCCGTTACTTGGTCTTTGAATATTTTTTTTTTTGTGATTTTTGGCGTGTACGATCTCGAAGTATATCCAAACAAGTTTGACGGTTGGATTATGAAAACTAATTTCATACAATATGTTTCCTATTTTTAATTTATTTATTTTGTACTCATAAGCAAAAGGGTAGGAAAAAAAAACACAACTTTGCGCGACGTAGGTACAATTGCGTCGCGCAAAACATCCTTGCGCGACGCAATTGTACCTACGTCGCGCAAAGTTGTGTTTTTTTTTTTTTTTTTTTTTGGCCTTTTGCTTTTCTTTTGGGTTTCTTTCATTGCATTTTTCTTTTGTGGTATCCACTTGTGTAAATGTTTTAAATTGACGATCGAATTAGTTCATTGTATTCATATAGGTTTAAAGAGTGTAGTTGTAAAAAATCATCAAAATCGGAGTTAAAATGACCGTTAAATCGTGATGTGTCGTTTATACCCGTCGAAAAGGTTTGTCCCGTTACTTGATCTTTGAATGTTTTTTTTTTTGTGAGTTTTGGCGTGTACGATCTCGAAGTGTATCCAAACAAATTTGACGGTTGGATTGTGAAAACTAGTTTCGTACAATGCGTTTCCCATCAAAACGATAGATTCACTAACACTTAAGAATTTATTTATACTTTCATTAAGTATAACATAAGATTTTGTAGTATCCACTTGTGTAAATATTTTAAATTGACGATCGAATTCATATAGGGTCAAGGAGTGTAGTTGTAAAAAATCATCAAAATCGGAGTTAAAATAACCGTTAAATCGTGATGTTTCGTTTATACCCGTCGAAAAGGTTTGTCCCGTTACTTGGTCTTTGAATATTTTTTTTTTTGTGATTTTTGGCGTGTACGATCTCGAAGTATATCCAAACAAGTTTGACGGTTGGATTATGAAAACTAATTTCGTACAATATGTTTCCTATTTTTAATTTATTTATTTTGTACTCATAAGCAAAAGGGTAGGAAAAAAAAACACAACTTTGCGCGACGTAGGTACAATTGCGTCGCGCAAAACATCCTTGCGTGACGCAATTGTACCTACGTCGCGCAAAGTTGTGTTTTTTTTTTTTTTTTTTTTGGCCTTTTGCTTTTCTTTTGGGTTTCTTTCATTGCATTTTTCTTTTGTGGTATCCACTTGTGTAAATGTTTTAAATTGACGATCGAATTAGTTCATTGTATTCATATAGGTTTAAAGAGTGTAGTTGTAAAAAATCATCAAAATCGGAGTTAAAATGACCGTTAAATCGTGATGTTTCGTTTATACCCGTCGAAAAGGTTTGTCCCGTTACTTGATCTTTGAATGTTTTTTTTTTTTGTGATTTTTGGCGTGTACGATCTCGAAGTGTATCCAAACAAGTTTGACGGTTGGATTGTGAAAACTAATTTCGTACAATATGTTTCCTATTTTTAATGTTTCCTATCATTAAGTTTAATATAACATTTTGTGGTATCCACTTGTGTAAATATTTTGAATTGACGATCGAATTAGTTCGTTGTATTCATATAGGCTCAAGGAGTGTAGCTGTAAAAAATCATCATAATCGGAGTTAAAATAACCATTAAATTGTGACTTTTCGTTTATAACCGTCAAAAGGTTTTGTCCCGTTACTTGATCTCTGGATGTTTTTTTTTTCCAATTTTTGGCGTATGTGATCTCGAAATATATACAAACAAGTTTGACGGTTGGATCGTTGAAATTAGTTTCATACAATGTGTATCCCATCACGTTCAAAGGTATATATATTTATTAAGTAAATTTTGAGTAAAATTTACAATTTTTTTTAAAAAAAAACCTTGCGCGACGTCACAATATGGTCGTTGCGCAAAAGCACTTTGCGCGACGTCGAAATGTATACCTGCGTCGCGCCATGTGTGATAATTTTGGCGGGGCAATAGTAAAAAAATTTCAAAAAATTTCCCAAATTTTCCAAACCAAAAGCCTTCCGCTCTTTATCTCTCTCGCACTCAGTCTCTCTTCCCAAACCAAACCCAAATCCTTCTCCTAACTCCAGCCGACTATCCTCCTCGACACCCTTCCCTTGACTCTCCAACTCTCAATCGTCCTCCTCCTCATAGTGCTCACGAGCCATCACCGCCGTTGACCAACACAACGGCACCACCCATCATCTTTCTCAATGACATCCCAGAGAACCCAGGCCATCACCCCCGCTGTCATCCCTCTAAAATTTAGGTAATTTTGATTTTGGGTTTTCCTAAAATTTGAATTGCATTTGTAGATTAGTGATTGATGATTGATGGCTGGTGTTATGTATGTTTATAGATGATTGGTTTAAATTTCATGCGACTGTGATAATGTTTTAGGGAAAAAATCATTTTTCCATTTGTCGTTTGGCCCAATTTCATTTGTCAACATCATGATTTCAATTCCACAATTTCCATCTGACCCTTTTCTTTTCTTTGCTGCTATATAAAATGAAATGATACGGTTGATACCGTCCAACCACCGTTTCATTTTTCTGCATTTGATGATTGCTAGTTCTGAATCTGCTTTATATGCTGCAACTGAAAGTGATATCATTGTTGGTGTGAAAGTCAGTCGAAATGCCACAACTGAAAGTGATATCATTTTTGGTGTGATGGACACTCGAATTTGGCCTGAAGCCGAGAGCTTTAAAGATGAAGGTTTTGGTCCTCCTCCTAAGAAGTGGAAAGGTGTTTGTGAAGGCGGCAAAAATTTCACCTGCAACAAGTATGTCTCTCAATATTTACATGCATAAAGTTATCAATTATACGAATTAAAACTTTTGGTTGAGTTTATTCATTTCAAAATTTCATAATTAAACTACTTTTGTAATGGTTTTGCCTTTGTACTTTGCAACATTTAGTTAACATCAAGAAATGTTTGTTTTGCAGAAAGATTGTTGGTGCTCGATATTACTTAACCATATTTAATAGTTATAAGGTTGGTTCTGTGTCAAGTGTAGTACCATGGATATTCACAGTTGCAGCTAGTACCACATATCGCCAGATTGACAGCATTGTTCTTGCAAACGGAAAGAAACTAGTCGTATGTCTCATCTGCTTCCTTTTTCAACAAAATAAAAATATTTTATGAATACTTGTACATACTGTGGCTCAGATTGTTTTCATTTCAATACTTTTTAATGTTCTTCTCACAAACAGGGGCACTCTACGAACACGTTCACATTAAATGGAACAAATTTCCTCTCATATATGGAAAAGATGCTTCAAGAACAAATTGCTCTCAAATGCTAGCTAGGTAATTCTTGTCCCCGTTTCACTTTTACTGCATACAATATAAAGGAATAAAAATGAAACTATAGTACTGACTTCTTGTTGCATTTTAGTATATGTTGGGAAGGTTTCCTGGACCCTGATTTAGTTAAGGGAAAGATAGTTGTATGTGAGAAGACCACTGGAATTCCTGGGGCTTACAGATCTGGGGCAGTTGGGATAATTTTTGTTAATTTTATGAACAAAACTTTTTCTCAAGTTCTCTCATTTCCTGGGCTAAATGTGGTCAAGTCCTACATGAACTCCACCATGTATAGATTCATTTCAATACTGTTAAGGTTGGAGATTTTTGATCACGTTGCTTTTTAAATTCTTGAAAGCCTCTGTTATTTTACAGGGTCCCTCAAGCGACGATATTACAAAGTGAAGTCATAAAAGATGTTGCTGCGCCTCTTGTTTCTATCACGTCTGCGACTGGACCGAATTTAGTTGACTATGTTATGAATTTGATGATTCTTCATCTCCTAGACTGTTGTATTTATTTGACTATGTAGTTCCAGGGTGAGCAGATGAAGGCCCACGGCGAAGGGATGAGGACCTATACGGGGACAGTGAGAGACCTTGTACGAGTCATGTCCAACCTCCAAATCTCGCTACTAGCACTTAATCTTGCTCCACCATCGACCTCAGAGCCACCTCACCTTGCCGATACTCAGTAGCTTGATGTATTAAACCTAGAAGACTACTTGTAGTTTTTTCTTTTTTGTTCGAACATCTTGTATGTACATTTTATATATTTTATAATTAAATACTTTTGCTCGGTTAATTCATTATTGTTTAGAATTTAATTACAATATTTATTAAAAATTTAAAAAAAATATTTTTGACAAAAACAAAGAAAAAGGGTTTGCGCGACGCATGCCCACGTCACACAAAGACACTAAGCCACTTTGCTCGACGAATATCCTATGTCGTGCAAACCACTTTGCGCGACGCAGTCCTAGGTCGCGCAAAGCCACTTTGCGCGACGCACATCCTCTGTCGCGCAAAGCCACTTTGCGCGACCTAGGACTGCGTCGCACAAAGTCACTTTAATTCACTTTGCACGACAGAGGATGTGCGTCGCGCAAAGTGTCTTTGCGCGACGCACGTTACTTCGTCGTCGCACAAACCCTACTGTCACTGCCTTGGCGCGACGGTTATCGCGCGACGAAGTTTCGTCGCGCAAACCCTTAGGCAACGAATTTTTACTTTGCGCGACGAAGGTACCTACGTCGCGCAAAGTGTTTTTCCTACTAGTGACCTAATGTAAATTTATCATCATATGCATCCATGTAGACTATAGCTAGAGGAGTAAATTGTATTAGTTGGCTGCATGCTTCTAAAATTGGATCGAGGGTTAAATACCTACATGCAGGTGATGCACTTGTCATGATTGACTATGGGTATCATATTTGTTTAAAAGTTTTTCAGATTAAACTCTAATACCATTTTGGGCCCGTTTGATATTTATGACTCGTTTACTAATCCGTAATCAAAATAAAAGGAATTGAATTGAGGAGGAGTTGGAATGGGGAGGAGTTGGAATTGGATTTCTGTTAAAGCTGCTTACTTAAATTTTCTGGAATCGAAGTAAAAAAAGTTCCGATTCCATTTAAGTGTTTACTAATTCACTAGAATTGGAATATAATTCAATATGATTACAAAAATGCCCTTATTCAAAATCTATATAACAAAATTTTATATAATAATTCATAAAAAAAAATGAATATATATTTATTTAAATAAAAATATAACTCAACCCCAAACCAATCTTATCTTTCTCTTCCCGAAGAACCCACTCCTCACCGCCACCTCTCACTATCTCAATCCATTCCATTATAATTCAAGTTTATTTATTTCAAGTCTTGAGCATTTGATGGCTAATAAACTCCACTGTAAGTCCCTCATTCCCTCTTTCTCTTCTTCTTATTTTCTCTCTCTATCTCTCTCTCTCTCTCTCTCTCTCTAACCCAGTGCATTTTGATTTCAAAATTTTCCTGGGGAAACATAGAGATATGGCGGAAAGTGGGAGTAGTGGGTTTGGGTTGCGTCCCTGGGCATGGGTGGTTGCAGTGTTGGAGGAGGGAGTAGCACTGGACCTTATCGTTGGACAACGGTAGGTGGATCTTCTGTGTTAATGCAAAGGGTAGTGCTGGAATTTTAAAAATAAAGTGAGGATATAAGTGGTAGAAAATTTGTATTCCGGATTTCCCACAGCAGGCGGAATTGAAATACCTATAGATCTCAGGAGTCCAATTCCTTCAAAAGAAGGAATTGAATTCCAAAATTTTTGTGGGTCTTGCCACTTTTTCAATTCCTCCAGATTTAGTAAACACTGGAGTAGTCCGTAATCAGAATTCAATTCCACATTTTGATTCCGATTACGGGTACGTAAACGTGCCATTAGTCTTGAGTCAAATTTTTTAGAATGAATGAGGATTCTTTTCGTGAGGATCCCTCTTCGTGAGGATCCTGGGGATCCTCCAATCATATTCGTTCATTATATATTATGCAGTCAGAAATCATTGTAATTTTTTTTATTTAAAATTGAATATAAATAATATCTAATAAAAACTGACCGCACGATATACAATGAATGAACGTGATTGGAGGATTCCCGGGATCATCACAAAGAGGATCCGAAGAGGATCCTCATTCTTTTAAAATAGTCATACCAAACAAGAATTCAAAGTCTAAGACTTGAAAAATGTTTTTGAGTTTAAAAAATTGAACTTAAGTTAAATATCAAATGGCCCTAAGTTTTTTTTTTTTTTTTTTCTTTTCTGAACACCTTTTGATTCAATTTACATCTTTCCATATCGATATATAGAGGATCCCTTTTTTTTTTAAAAATAGGGATTAGTTGTGGGGTCATCACCACATTGAATTTCAATAATTTGAACAGTCTATTTTTCAAGTTGCACATCATACATCATTCTTGCAAATTATTAACCAAATCGGAAATATTTGACACATCTAATTGGGTTCACAGAAATTAACGAACACTTTAATCTATAAGAACCAATGAAATTTCATCGTAATAATTAAATAGGCAAATCATTTCGGATTAAATAGAAATTTTATAAGAATGATTTATGAATCAAAATTTACAAAATAGAAAATTTGAATTATTAAAGTTTGATGTAGAATGAGTCTTACAACTAATTCCTACTTTTTGAAAAGAAAAAACAAAAAATCTCATTGCACAAAGGGCATGCAAAAGCAGCGTCGTACGATTTAGTTTGTCTACCATTCTAATATTTCACTAATAGATTAAACATCCGACACTTAATTATTTCCTACCAATCACTTATAATGTTAATTTACATAGTTGCACATGGAGTTCTACATACCTGCCTAACATAACCCTGTTAGTATATTTGTCTCAATGCATGCCTATTTGTTGTGCTCATGATTTCTCTCCCGACAAAATATAATAGAAAGTGTTATTTGTACCGTACGTATATACTAATCACATATTGTTTGTTAGCCACGCACCTATTTAATAGAGGTGGACCCCAGATACACACTATATGTGAGAGCTTTTTATTCTTTGGTCTGAGTATGTGTGAGAGCTTTAGAGAGGAGAAGAAATCTTTCAGTGTTCCTGGAACACTGACACATACGTCATATCTCATTATACAATTGGAATGACACTTGAAAAAGAAAATCTCTCAACTTGTATACTGACATATGGCATATTATCCCATGCTCTAGGCACATTGAAAAATTTCTCGGAGAGAAGGTCATCAATGTAGTCAGTAGGTTCATTCAATGAAATATTTAATATAATTAGGTACCTAATTACATCGGTATCATAGTTAATGATAAAATTGTGTACCTAATTAGATCAATCATGTTGATTGTTAAGCTGATCTATCCATGATGTGAATTGTTACTTCACCATGTGATGTTCAATATGTCAAATATCACAAAATGACACAAATATGTTAATATATCGGGTATGTCACAAAAATAACACAAACACGCAAACACGACGTGATCGCCGATCGGTGGTGAGGGATTTAAGGGCATGGGTCTAATTTTAAAGAAGAAAACATATAGGGTTTGTACAATCGTAATCATACGAAATCTAACATACCCTATCTAAAACAGTAGTTTCCAGTAATAAATTATTAACGCACGCATGTACAATTCTATCCGTTGCTAACGTACTTTAACATAACGTAACATTTTCGTTACAAATCTGATTCGAGTCTAGTTCACGCTCACGCAATCGTAACAACAAGTACAATTTATTACGATAGCGAGGAAAATAATTTAAAGATGCATAATCACGTCCATGTCACTTTACCAACAAGGGCATAAATGTCAATTTACTCATCTGAGAAGAAATTACGTATAAAATTAGGATCGGGTCATCACAATGAGACTCATGTATAAGGACTCTTTGAATCTCTATCTTTTCATGAAATAAATAAATCATATTTCCAGTATATTAGGCATGGCATCCTTTATTTATTTGCAAATTGCATTACTTATTTAAGACTTCATCTGTTTTTTAAGCATTTACATTGCGTATGTTAGGCATGTCATCCTTTATTTATTTGCAAATTGCATTACTTGTTTAAGACTTCATCTTAGTTTAAGCATATACATTGCTTACCTTTCTAGTAAAAGATGAGTATATGCATACGCCCAAAAGATAAAGGTCCCAAGCCAAAAGCAAAGAAAACAGAGAGGTGAGCCGTTGGCATCGCGACTGCTAAAATAAATCAATATCAAGGAACATTGCCATCTTCTTTTTATATGTAAATATTATTATTAAGGGATAGAGAGGGTTCGAAATTATCACAATAATTTAAAAGATGGATAGTTGTGAACACGAGATATATAGATGAAAACCCAATACCTTACTCTCTAAAACAATGAACCACATGCAATATTGTCATCTTCTTCCATAGGCAATATTCTTCATGTATGCACCCTAGGCTTACTGGAGGCGGACGCCCCCTCCAACATTGGTTCTTAAACAAAAAAGAGTACATGTAGTATCAACTTTCAAGCCAAAACCTCACTTAATAATCACTATATTGAAATAGAACTTACATTTTGCCAACAACACCCCCACCCATTATTTTATGCCATATACAATAGAGAAGAAGCATAATGGATATGATTGTAGGCATTGACTGCAATACTTACATGTATTTAATACAATAACCATCTGATGATTAATATAATTCATGTAATTAAATGTATTTAATAGAATCAATATCTGACCGTCAAGGTGGGTGATTTGTATTAAATATATATAAGTATTATAATTTTATTATAATTCGGAGGTTTTCGTTCAAATTTATTTATGTTATCATTTTTGTTTACTTGCTCTATTTGTTGTGTTTCTTCTTCTTGTTTGTGCATATTATTTAATTACTGGATTTAAAAATGATTTTGATTTAGGAATGTTGGTTGTTTTTGATAAAGAACAGTGATTTCCACAAACATATAAGTGGTTCGTTTGTATATTGGGTTGAACTTTTTAATTTTACTTTGTTGTTTTAGGATGTTCCCGTTCAAAAAAGTATTTAGCTCCATCCCTGCATGTATGTATGGGACTTAGCTTTAAACCAAGTTTAGCAGTCAATTAGTGTTTTTTTTTTTTAATCAATGACGATAGATATTCAAAGTTTTGACTTCTGTAGCACAAGAAAAACATTACTAAATCAAAAGTTAGTTGGCGAACGAGGAAGATTTGAACTTAAAACATCTTTTAACAATATTCTATTAGTTTTCTAAAATCTCCATTA